ACAAAGTCACAATAAATATGTATTAGTAATGTAAAAATAATATTTTTACCATTTTCAAACGTCGGTAGAAGTTTTAAATGTTCCGAAAAATTGTATAAGAGTTTTACATTTCTCTCAATTACCCGAACTAAAAGTGATACTGCATTCACAGCGCTCAGCACTACAGAAAAAATCTCTAACTGATGAGAAAAGTAACACATTTTTTCTTAACATTTTGTAAATTGAGTTCCATCGGTAGAAACGCGCAATTAAAATGTTTTGTAAATCGAGTTCCAAAAAATTGTATAAGAGTTTTACATTTCTCTCAATTACCCGAAGTAAAAGTGATACTGCATTCAGAGCGCTCAGCATTACTGGAAAAAATCTCTAACTGATGGGAAAAGTAACACGTTATTTCCTAACATTTTGTAAATTGAGTTCCATCAGGTAGAAACGCGCAATCGAAATGTTTTGGTACAACACATTAGCAAATCTACAATGTATTCCCTATTTTTCTTCATTTATTGAGGAAGACGATGCAATTACATAACGACCTCCCTAATGGGCACGACCAACTCTTTCAATGAATTATAAACCAATTGAACCTAGATATTAAGGACATGACAGATACACTGAATATTAGAAAAAGAATCACCACAAAGAGGACGCCAAGTTTGTATAAGCTCAGATAAAAAAGCGGTATTAGCACTAGCGTTACAAGAAAAATGGTGATTTTTTTTTTTGAAAAATTTTGTAAGTATTCAACACACATGCTATTAAATGAGCGATATTTTGAGTAGTGTGAGAGTTATCAAATTCCAAATAAGCAATTAAATATTTATGAAATATAAATCTTTCATTAACCCAATGACAATAAGTTTCATATAACAATAATTTTCCCAATGATCGGACCAAATTTTCCAACAAATAATCAAAGAATTTTCAAATGTTTGTGTCAAAATTAATTTTTTTCTCATCCACTGTGTTTCAATATCTCGTGTGGGAGTAGTACGCGTAACGCGAGACGCATCTGGGTTTAAAGTCATTTGAAAAAAAGTATAAATCAAAATTAGCAAACCTAAAAAGAAGAGATGAAACAGAAATAGATTCAATTACTTGATGTTTATGATTTGTATCACAGTATTGAAATAAAGATGAAGAAGAACATGTACCAACAAATCCAGCCCCAAATGCAGTTCTGCTTCTCGGGAATTAAATTTGCCTGGAGTCAACCCATTGCTTTCGGGTTTGACGGCGATCCTTGGATAGCTCATGAGTCAGGTCGACTTCAGGGAAGTCGACTTACTGATGTCGTCAGTAGTGTTCATTCGGTCGAACAACTAGCATTTGAATCGGACTACGATAGTAGGGCTATATTACACTGTGTTTCAAATATCTTGCGTGAGAGTAGTACGCATAACGCGAGACGCATCTAGGTTTAAAGTCATTTGAAAAAAAAATATAAATCAAAATTAGCAAACCTAAAAAGAAGAGATGAAACAGAAATAGATTCAATTACTCGACGTTTATGATTTGTATCACAATATTGAAATAAAGATGAAGAAGAACATGTATCTAACAAATCCAGCCCCAAATGCAGTTCTGCTTCTCGGGAATTAAATTTGCCTGGAATCAACCCATTGCGTTCGGATGACAGGTCTGTACGTGTAGTTGCATGGTTCCATACCCATTACCAGTGATTCTGGTCATCGGGCGGACAATGGTTGCAAATACATATAAAATGTTTATCATCCTTACTCTCATCAGGCACCTTCAAAAATGCCTTATGAATATATCGGATACCAATTGTCGCCCCCAATCCCGGTCGTCCGTTGATTTTGAGCGTCATTCGAGAACTATAAGCCCTCGGGGATACCTTCTATAGTTTTAAATATGTGTCAACCTACTCAACAGATAATTCATCGGGGACGCCCAAGACGTCCAGGTGTACCGTCGACGTTGGCAATGGATGGCCACTCGTATAAGCTACACCTTTTCACATTGGTCCTCCATCACGAGAACTCAACAATTTATTATAACTTAGAAAGAGTATAAAACATAACAATTATAGAAAAAAATGAGAAAATCGAGAGTACTAAGGAGATTATATAAGGAGTGATGATGGTTTGGTGTAAACATGAAGTGGTAAAGGAGGGTACTTACGGGAAAAAAAAAATCTATTTCTTTTTTTTTAAAAAAATTTGATGAACCATCGGTTCAGGGCCAAACTGACAATTCAAACAGTTCCGATCAACCTCAACTGTTGAATCTCAAACTATCACAAGATCCAACAATCGATCTAAAAAACATGGCCATTGGAGATATCAGTCAAATGATGTCGGTTCCAGGCCTGAACCAAGCCGATCCACAATCAACAAAAATATTCAAATTTTTTTGAAAATTTAATTTTTTTTTTAAATTGAAAAAAATGGTGCCAAAATAGGTACAGTTTGGAATCGAAACCGACAGTTCAATTAAAAAAGTGTGAACTAGAACCAAGCCGAACCTAATGACGAGTTGACTCACAACGTGGTCAATAGTCTGAGCCGATTCAAAAACCGTTGGCCAGTTCAAAACCGTGAATACATTTATCTTTGATATTTCCAACTGAAAATCTATAAATTTGATTATACTATTATATGGATCACACTATTCATAGTGAAATTCACGAACCAAAACAATTAGGGTGTCTTGGATATAAATTTTTGATTGGATATTTTGGCTTTGATTGATTTTTTGATTAACCAAAGTTAATTTTAAAAAAGTTTGATTGAATTAAATTCGAGTGGGATTTTGAGTTTGTATTAAAATAATATTTCAATAACAATGAAAAATTTATTTTGATGTAAAAATAGAATTGGTGTGATTGCAAAGTGATATATAGTTAAATTTAGGTAAGTGGAAATAGTAAATTAAATTTAATATGATGTGTGAAGATGACTGATTGATATTATTTACTTATATTGATAATATTGAAGAGAAATCCAATTCAGTTAATTTGAGTTGTTATTGGAAAAAATCGAATCACAATTTATATCCAAGCACCACCTTAGTTACTTCCAGTAAGGAAATTAAAAAAGAATGATGAAATTCATTTTCCACAAGCTCTCTCGTGGCATCTGACCGGGAAAAAGACCGACAAAAAGACCGAGATGCTTCATATTTGGCCATAAACTCAATGGACAGAATATAAGTGAATTTCACCTACCCGTGTGGGCAGCTGTCGATTCAACAAATATTTTAAATACCGTACCGTACCGGCCGATATTACCGATAATACGGGATACTGGTGGTCCGAATGGTACGGTTATACTCTATATACCGTTATTGCCAAAATACTGGTTCATAGTTTCATACTATTAGAAACGGGGGAAGAGAGTGCGGTTCCACCAGATAAAGGCACACCATAAGAGGGTGAGCTTAGATGCACCTTAGTGAGGTTCCATCCCAAAACCAATTGGTGATAGGAGGAGTAGCCCACTAGGCTTATATACTAGACTCGTTTTCCCTATAGAATCAATGTGGGACACTTACAAGTGATATTCCAACACGCCCCTCACTTGTGAGTCCTTCGTAAACCCAAGCCCACATAGCAGGCCGGGTAGGGAGATAAGCCCAAGCCCAGAGCAGGCCGGGTAGAGAGAGTCATTGCAGGTCCTAGGACAGGCCCGCTCTGATACCATATTAGAAACGGGGGAAGAGAG